CTTGTTTAAAAAACTAAAGTTTGATACTTAGTGTAAAACTAATACTAACTAAAAACTAAGCACAAAAATGTTTAGTGGCTATACAACCGGTCTCAAACAAGACCTGAGGCTAAAAAGCCGGATGGTTGCTCATTTTATAAAATCGCATGTCCCACCATGGACAAAGGTGTCCAGCGACACCCCTCCGGGTGCAATCGTCGCAGAGAACAGACTATGTCAGTTCTATGTACCAATGCAGACGGCAAAAATTAAACGACCAAATTGGCCAACTCATAGCCGTCTGACCAAAATAGCCTATGAAGAGCGAACAAGTTTCCAGATACCGGATTCCCATATGCATCAGTCGGTCATTGGTAGAAATTCATACTTGGGTTATTTATTCCAAAGTTGCACTCACTTCCCCTATTGGGGCAAAGGATTGTGTAACGGCTACGCGTTAACCCCAGACGGAATTTAACCGCCTGGGTAAGAAGCTTAAAGCACCCGCTTTTATGGCCGGCTGTGCACTTGGTTTGGGGAAATCACCATTGTGATTGATTGGCTTAGAAACACTCCATACTTCTCCAAGTATCAAGTGTTTTCAAGCCAATCAATCAGCCTGGCACTAAACCAACCGCACAGCCGCCCAGGGGCAAGAGCACCCGGTTTGCAAATTGCTGCATGCTTTTTTAAGTTAGGAAAAATACTATAGAATTGCAAACAGATGAATAAAAATTCAAATAAAAAAAAACACTCAAAAGACATATATAAAATCCGACTGAGTCGGAATACTTCATTTATATAAAATGGCACAAAGGCCAGAATAATTGTTAACCGGACACATCCGGTGTAGAAGGAAAGTGAAAATTTTAATCCAACCCCATGGTAGGTAAAAAGATACAACAGAACACGGCATGCAAGCCGGTAAACAACATAGTTGGCATACTGCCGCAGAAAAGTGGGAGGACCGCCTAAGGCTTAGGCAGAGTCTTCTCCGGCTGAGCTTGGCTGGCTTGGCCCTCTTGCTGATCATCCGCCTGCTCCTCATCATCATTAGAGACTTCATATCCCTGCTCAGAAGCCCAGTCTTTGAAGCGAGGCGGTGGAGCATCACCCAGTTGCTGTGCATCATACACCTCAGTGGCGTAATCATACCTCAGCTTATAGACTTCAAAGTCTATTTCTGGGTAAAGGAGGCCCCAGGTGATCTTCAGCCGGGCCAAGTTGTCCCGCTCATTCTCCTCGGTCAGCCGGGTCTGCTCCCGGGCCAGCTCGTCCGACTGCTTGTTGCGCAGGGTCATGAGCTCGAGCCTCAGGCGGTCATTGTCAGTCCGGAGTTGGGCATTCTCTTTGTCAGCATCCTCTAATGCCTTGAGATCATACTTGGCATCTTTCAGCTGCTTGTCAAGGTCATCAGCCCGGCTGTTAGCTTCATCGTTTGCAGCCGTTAAACTCCGGATCAGCTCCTCCTGTTTCAACTCTACTGCTTTAATCTTTAAATTACACATATAATCAGAATGTTCAGTAAAGTTGAGGTTTTCTAGGGCCCTCTGTTTGGCGTCATTTACCTCTTCTTGCTTCCGCCTGAAAGGGCCCCGGAGATTGTTCACCCTCACCATAGCCTGAATCAATAGCAGTCGGTTAAAGAGTTACTTAGTCAAATTAAAGATGAAAGACATCAAGATAGAACAACCATGTACCTCAGCCAGAGAGCCCATTATCCGGTCAAAGTCCACAACCTGCAGATCAGGTATGGATGCCTTCTCGGACCGGGTGAGGGTCCTCACCATCCGTTTTGCGAAGCCTGGAAGGTCCGGCTGGTCAGAAGTCGGACCTGCATCAAAAGTAGTGTTATATGAGATAGAAGCAGCGTAGCTGGCATTCATCCGTTGCCGGCTGCTGACGGACCCTTTTGAAGAATCAACCTTGGTCTTGATTCTCATGAAATCAAGTGGCCACGGTATTTCAGTTCCTTCCTTACCTTGAGCTTCCGGATGGGTCTCCGGCTTGTTCTCCTCCCCAGTGGTTGCCGCACCGTCTGCAACCTCTGGTGGCATGCCACCCTTTGATGTCGTTGAGGCATCCGGCGTCTTCTGCTGTTCTGAGCTTTCACTGAGCTTTTTCAGAACAGCAGGGGATTTTCCCCCAGTCGTTGCACGACCGGATTGGGCAGAGCCTTGTTTTTGGGGGGTCCTTTCTTGCGGCTTTGGCAGCCGGAGCCTTTTCCAGACCATCTCCTTGCCTTTTGAGAAGCTTGGAGAATCATAGAGGGATTCTCTTGGCGGACTCCTGAGAAAGAAGCAAATATGAGTATACCCAACCGGTATATAAAAAAATGAAAACATTAAGTCAGGCGGTCTTACCCCGCCTTTCTTGTTGTCCTTTGCCTCGACGGCTGCCTTCTTGGCAAGAGCCGCCTCCTTGCGTAATAGCGCAGCCGATTTAGCAGGAGTCTTGTCCTAGTCAACCATCTTCAGGGCTTCTTCTGCAATAACAAGAATTTCAAGTTAGAAAGATAAAAATAAAAATAACAGTTGTTCCGGGTGTGAAGTATTCTACCCCTGGAAAACATTGTGCTCAGTCCGCAGGCGGACAAAAAGCATTCATCTTTGAAGAAGTCCGGGTGGGGGATCCAGTTCTTAGGAACAATAATGTGAGTCCCATCCCCCATGGGCTCAGTTGTAGTTTCAAAAAATCCCGGCTCCATGATCTGCTCAAGGGCTTTATTAGATAGTTCTGGGAGAGGGCATTTGCGTCCAAGAAGAGCCGGCTCGGTGTTGTACCTGCGCAGTGTCCGATTGTGTCTTAGGGTGGGGGAGGAAATCAAATAAAACTTGTCCTTCCACCCGGACCATTTGGACACTTTGTCCAAAGTCATTAAATATTGGGGCAAGGTAGTCAGAGTATACCATGCCCCATGGCCGCCTGGAGCCTTGCTCAAATAGTGCATGTGAGCGAAGGCAGAGAAGCTAGGGTTCAAGTTTTGGAACTCACAGGCGGAAATGTAACTTAAAATGTTCACCCACGAGTTTGGGGTGAGCTGCCAAACCCCCAGATCGTACCCCTTCAGGATTTTCCTAATCCCGGGGTGGAGGGGGAACCGGAGGCCAGCTTTTATTACCGCCTCATAGCAGATGAAGTAGTCATCTGCATGATCAATGTCGTCCCCCCAGGCCATTACAACATCAGTCGGAGGGACAATAACTTCCCATCCCCTTCCAAAGGGATGTTTCTCCTTAAAAGCCCTGAACCCGCTGTTAAGAAGGGCAATGTTGCTCGGCAGCATCCGGGTTCTCTTTGGGTTGGGGTTGTTAGCTACTTTTGGCGGCTGCTGATAGTCAGCCGCAAACTCCCCCTGGTCAGAGCCGGAAGATTCTGCTCTTGAACCTTGGGCGGCCTCAGCATCGCCGGCTTCATTGGAGGAGGCGGCTCCCTCGCCATCCACCTCTCTTACCCCAGAGCTCCCGGATGTAGAAGGAGCCTCTTCGTCGGATCCACTCCCCTCCAAATCCCTCGGATCCTCATCCGGGAAAACCTCATCGGCTGGCACTCTCATGGTGCGCCGGCTCTTAGACCGCCTGGCCGTTTGTTTCGTTCTGGCCATTGTATCCTGCACAGACACAGAGAGGGAGGAATTCGGAGATGAGCATATTGGTTCCAACAGTCCAGAAGAGGCACCGCCTGTTCTAGACTCAGTCGTACCTGGGGATCAGCTGAGTGTCCTAGGCAGTGCCGAGTGGGTGGATTGGGAACTCATTTATGCCTTTGCTACGCTCACTCAATTACCTGTGGCGAGCAATCTAGCTATCCTTAATTTAAAATAACTGTTCTATTAAGAAAGCCGGGTATACAGGTGAAAAAATGGTATGCAAATTGAAAGGGAGAAAAGCTAAAATGGTACAGGCGGTTTCCTTGCTTTAACTCTGGAAAATCTGAAAACCGCTACAGCCGGTGAACCGGGTGATGTACTGCTAGCACTCGGAAGCTTGAAACTCGTTGATTATGCAGGCGGGAGCAGAGAAAAATCTCTCTAGAATCTCTCTTTTTCTCTCTCTAAAAAGTCAATGTAAATGTAAAGTGTGAAAATGAGGGGGGGTAACTTTCTATTTATAGAAAGTAAAATTGGGGGAAAAATTTTGATTTGAAATTCAAAATTTTACCCCGTTACTGTTCACCTATGAGAGGTGGACACGTGTCACAGGCCCCACGTGACCTGCACGTGCGACCTGTGAGGGGAAAATGTTTAGGGTATTTTTACCCTAGACATGTGGACCAATGAGAGCTCCCCACGTGTCGAGCTCAGGATAGCCCATGTGGCCCAACATCCTCTTGACACGTGGACCACTGAGAGGTCGCCACGTGTCAAGCTTAGGATGGCCCAGGTGGCCCAGCATCCTCTTGACACTTGGCGCCCTCAGATATGTTTCCAAAATGGTGGCCTTCAAAGGCCCAGATTCCTAAAAGCGCCGTAAAACGGCGCAACCCACCAAAATCTAGGTCAAGTGACCTAGGTAGGGGCACATTTTCCAACGACCCTATAAATAGGGAGATATTTCCCCACTTTGGGGGACACATACAATCATTTATTACACCCTTATTCTCTCATATTAGAGAAAGACCTGAGCTTGGAATCCGAGCAGATCCCTACCTAAATTTCCGTTCTCTCTATTCCGTTTCAAGTTACTGACTTGTGCGTCGGAGACGGAGCACCACCCAACCGGTGTCTCCGTTTGTTTTGCAGGTACAACTCATTGCGGATCAGTTTTCGTGTTGTAACTCTCCCAAGGGACAAAAACACCCAAAACAATCAACTCGCACGACAACGTAATTAAGCAAACTCAGAGTATAATTCACGATTATTATAAATTTTCTACTAAGGATTAATTGTCGCACCTAAGGTATCAAGCTACAAGGTTGATGAATTCTGATTTCTCATTCTCACTGCAATTATGAATCATAATCATCACAATAAATAAATAAATAAATCAAGAGCAATTAAAAAGGAATTAAGGGAGAGAAACCTGATTTGGTTGAGGCCGGAGATAGCAGAAGGAAGGTTCTCGAATTTCTGAGCTTCAATGGAGTTGAGTGTAACAGTTGACGCCATTGATGGAGGTTATGAAGCTTCAAATGACAAAGATAGAGGAAGAAGGAAGAGTGAGAAAGGTGGAAAGTGGAGATGAGGCGGGAGCAGAGGAATTTAAAAAGAGGGAATGATCATTTTTTGTCAAGATGAATTTGGTGCGGAAATAAAGCAATCATCAGGTTTTTATTTGTTTATTAATTTGCTCGTGGATCGCATGCTACATATTTATATATTTAGATTGATTGATATTATCCTGCAAATAACATGTTGGTGATTAAAATAGTGTTTGAAAAAACATGTTGATAATTATTATTAATTGATTAACTTAGGAAACAAAATTAGGCAATAAAAAATTGTTCGCATCAAGCTTGAAACGGTGGAATATGAGATATGCTAAATAGCCTAAATATGCAAATTAATTATGATTTTGATTGTAAACGTTATGTTATTTTCTCTAAATTAGTGATTTTATTATTGTAAATGCCGTATAACTATTATTTAATGATATTATTACTTTTCCTTATAAAAAAATAAAATCCAAACACAATGTTGGAATACATGGGAAAAAAACAAGTAATGATCTCATGAAATAGGAACAAAAAAAATTTAGTGTCTATAATTTTTTTTTTTCCATCTAGATTTAATTTTTAACATGTATTTTAATTTTTTTTATATATAATATTGGACATTTTAAGCTTGCATAAAATGATATACCTTCACAAATTAGGATTTAAATCTTAAAAATTCATTAGATTTTGACGTTTGAGTTAGATGATATCATTTTCCAGCAATTGCTTAAAATTCATTAAATCTTACTCATTCTAGTTAAAATTGTTACATGTCAGAATTTCTGCAGCTTTTCAGAGGTTGATTAGGCGCTTAAAAGATGCATTCTGGGACCTAAATAGCCTTAAACAAACCAGAAGTCCAGAAGTGTAGAGCTACTTAAGCAGTAATGCATTTACAGAAAAGATGATAAAAAGCTTCGAACGGAGAATTATAGCAGTATAGGAAGTTACCAAAAAACACCCTGTATAGGGAAATGCCCGAAATGGGCATACAAAGACAGGCCACCAACATAAAAAAAACAGTTAAGACATTATTCAAACTTCTTAAGCTCTGGAACCAGTTTTGCTAAAAAATTGTTCAACAAAATTATATCTCCAAAACTCAAAATTCTATAATCTGTTTTCTCGTATATCAAAACCATGAAATTACTACACAGACCAGATCAGTCAGGTGATCATGTTTCGCATCCAACGATCCTCAATGCTTTAAAGATCCTCAGCACCATTGATTTCCTGAGGAAGGAGGGAAGCTATTGTAAATACACTCAAAGAGTAATCTATCAATAAGTTAACTATCGGTGCCAAGTGCTAACCTTGTCGGCAATTACTGCACCATCTGGAATTTCCAGCTTTGCTCCAGACTTAGCACTGATGGTCACTTTTCCCTGTTGTAGTATAATCAGGTTTAGCTTAAGTACAGAATAATGTAAGGGAAGTCGAAAATATCAGCAAAATTGCGTTCACGCATCACATGATGGTTATTTATGATGTAAAAATTAAACACTTAGTTCATATATAGATGAGATTATGAGAATGAACATTGTGTTTTGATTTTGGAAAGCAGAAAAACTATCAGAAAAGAGCAGCTGATCTGAATTATGAACATCGATGCTGAAAGCCTGAAACTGAAAGAAAACCTGACATTTGCTTAGAAAAGTATTTGTGTCATTACTCAAATATCACCAAAAACATGGCCTCAAAAAAAAAAAAAAAAAAAGAAAGAAAGAAAGAGAAAAAAAAAATACTGCATATTGGTTAAGTGACGTATTTTGCAAGTGGAAATTGCAATCAATCAGGCAACATCCAAATTGCACATCAGCTCAACTGGATTGGACACACAGGATTGTTCATAATCATCTCATGCCCCATATATAGCATTCGTAAACACAAGGCACAATTACCAGAACTCAAGACACCAATTTAATATGTAGTGAGAGAACAACTTTGAGACTTTCCCTTCTTGCTCTCTTTCTAAAATCTCATAACAAAAATCTAGGGATGGGGTTTCGGATATACTATCAAAAGAGCCAAAAAAAAAAAAAAAAAGAAAAAAGAAAGAATCTTAGTACCTTGAGAGCAATTCCAGCGCCAAACCAAACATCTCCTACCACCTTCAAGCTATCTAGCTCAATGATACTGGGGATCGACTTAAACCGGCTTAAGAAGTTGCTGACCTGCTCACAAGAACATTTAATAATAGCTAAGAACCTAACACCATAAATAATCAAAGAACTTCACGAAAGAGAGACAAAACCTTTTTGAACTCAGGGCCCAACTCAATAGTGGGGTTAGCGGGGTTGTTTCTAGCTGGGTTTCTTATCACAAAGCCATCAACAACAGTGTACAGATCCGACTGCAGTAAACCAAATACTGTTAATAAAATGTCATCTATAAAAATACAAAACAGAAACACTTCTAGTTGTAGTCAAATACCTGGACAAGGAGCAAATCTGAAGTTGCCTTCACTGGAAGGAATCGTGAACGAGGCACATTCATACCAATAGCATTATCAAAGAACTGTTACACAAAAAAGAAGAGTTAATATTAAGATCACCATTCTAGTACTGACACTTTTAAATTGGATAATTAATTGAAAATAAGTACCTTAATTGCAGCACCAGCAGCTGTTTCCAATTGAAGAACCTTAACTCCATCAACTTCCTGTAAACAAGATCAAATTAGCCGAAGGCTCCATGATATGTTTAATAACTTCTGTAACCTCAAAATTAGTGGAATACCTTGGGGTTTGGAATAATTTCCATCTTAAGTGCATCAGCTTCTACAAGCCTTTTGACTGCATGCAAATTAACCCACCTGAAAATCAAATTACACCATGAGGTAACTCCGCTATTCATCAATGGTTTGAACTCTTTGTAAACAATATAACTTACAGGTTGTTGGTGTTGAAAATTTTGAACTTCTCAATCGACTTGAATTCGTTGACCTGATTTGAAGAAGAACAATCACATGTGATTAATTCAACTCATCAACATTGTATAAAGAGCTTTTTCATCGGATACCAAAACAAGTAACATATGACATGTAAAGGAGGACATTACGGGCAAAAGAAATATAGTTTTCTTATGGTAAATACGTGTAATAAAAGAAAAGAAGAATGAACAGAACTCACATGTTCATCAGGAACCTGTGCAATTTCTAGAAGCTGCATCACAAGATAGACAAATTTCCTTTATCAGCACCATGTTAAATAGCACAAGACCAGCGCAATGGTAAAACAACACGTTTCATTGGCTTAGACAAGAACGTGATATTGGGTACACCAAATACCAATAAGCTTCTCTTGGTTAAAATAGATGCACAAGTTAACATGTGGTTAAGCACTACACTTACATTCAATTGATGGGAGCTTTTTACTGATTCTAAATTAAGCAAACGTGGTCTATTTCCAACATCAGGATTCAATTTCAAAGTTCAAAAGTTAAATTACTCTTTCATAAAATTTAATAATGGTGCCCCCAGATTCCCTTGAGAAATTAACATCAATATCATAATAGTAGTAGAGTACAAGTCATCAGATATGCCAACAAATTACATACAAAGGGCCTAATCTTTGGACATATGTAATACTCTGATTCAGTTTGAAGTATGTTAGACTTAGACTTAGGCATAAGCAATCAGATTGGATTCAATTAGACATGCTGGAATTTGCACTCTAAAATCCAAGTCCAAAATATTGTGGATAAATATTTATTCTTTCCACCTTATAAATCTCCAGTACAGGATAGAAAAATTACAAAGTTGAGCTACAATTTAAAAATCATGATAGCCATGAATGCTTCATAACACATACCTGGACCTTTCCTTCATAGGAAATAAGAGTACCACCTTTAACATCAGCCAAAGTTTTGGGGGTAACCTACATGAAGATAGAAAAATAAGACATATGGAAGCAGGAAATGGCATAAGCAACTTCCAAAGATTAGGCTGCTTACCTCCATACAGTATTCGTTCTTATTTTGGACCAAGTGATTTAAGATCTCTGTGTAGTGCATTAAGGAGGACAATTGTGTGGAATACAATGATGAAACTATGTTGCAATATATAATGTGAATTAAGTCTAAAAGAAAGTAATTACTGAATTAATCACATCTTAATCCGCATAACATATACGAAAGAGTCTATTGGAAGCCTTTGTTAAAATAAATAAATTAATTAATTAATTAATTAAAGCCAGAAGTAGGATACTCAAATCCACAATAGCCCCCAGATTGTCAGAGTTGGCAACAAAGATATACTCCTTTCCCTGTTTGATCAAGTGAAAATCATGATACAGATAAGTCATAGTATCAAGTATGTCGTAAAAAAAAATCGTTATCATTACTCCACTGAGTCAAAGAGGTATACAACTGCTCAAGTGACATGGCAGGTTAAGTTTACCTGTGACAAAAACAGGTCAAGTTTCCCACTGTTCATTAAGGATGGGAACACATCACCATGACCAGGAGGATACCTTCATAAGCACAAGATGATCAAAAGAAGTACATATATATTCCATCAGTTCAAAATTTATACCAAATACAGAACATATAAGAGATGAGATATATGCATCTACATTCAACAAACACAACATGCAAATATTTGAGGCCAATGTCAGTGTAGAATAATACCACCCATCCTTGCCGGTTTGACCTTTGCATGGCAATGGCGAGAAATCTTCAACAACCAGACGAGGGTATTGACTCTGAATTGTAAGTAAAATCCAGTGAGTAAAGATATGATGAAAAGAAACACATCACCACACTGTGGTACCTAAAGCAAGAGACATTAACTCGGCTAGAGTAACAAACCTGATTAAATGTGTGAATCTCAACATTTGAATTGGTGTATTTTTCAACAATCTGTATGCAATTAGTTTAAAGTCGTGAAAAGACGCTCCACAGGATAAAAGACTAACAGCACAGAACACTAAAAAAAGGGTACTGTACCTTAAGTGTATCATCATGTGTGTTGAATGAGTTCATCAGAACTAAAGGCACTTTGGATCCATACTTGCTGTTAAGGCTCTGTGTATCATCCAAAAGAGGGTAAGAGGCCAACAAGAATCATAATATACAGAAATATCAAAGAAAAGAGAATGCAGTACCTCAATTTGCTTAACTATAAGGTCAAGGAAGGTCAGGCCATTACGGACTTCAATGACAGACCTGTACCGC